CAAAAATTCTACAAATAGAATTACTATCAAATAATTCCAATTTTTTGAAAATCAACGGTATATAATTTCATTGACACATTTTCTTAATTATTCACTATATATTTAATATATCGTGGACTGTATTTAACATTATTTGCTCCTCTTATAAGTAATTACGAATGATATAAAATAGCTTTTGAACTGGTTAATGGAGAAAAGAGAGAGAGATATTGGTTCATATCGCGTATATGTTCCTTAGCCATGGAAAAAGTCAATACCAGATCAATGAGCTAAGCGAAAGGAAAGTTCGCCGATCCAGTGCCGCCATCTGGCGAGCGCCGCTCCAAGTAACACTAACTTCATGTCCAGTATCATGTCCATGGTTACGTCCATCTTGCAGCTATCTGGAAATTCGTTTATATCGATTAATCATTATTATAATGATTCATATTTCACGAACTATAATTCGAACTACGATTAGATATCGATTTAATTACACACTGATGCGTTTCTCTACATTTTTATCCAGCATCGTGCAACTGCTCTTAAAATTTTGTAAAATATCAGCTTGACCCTGTCTGTGGAGAATTAATCCAGAGGATATCGTCTCGATTTTTCAGCGGAAAACTTTCAACGTTGTCATTAATCACTGTGGAACAGTATATTTCAGCCTGGTCGTTTTGCACTTTCGTGACTTGACCACGGCACACCCTAGGATACTTTTATTATTTCCGTTCAGTCCTCAGGGGGTTTTCATATCGTTACAATTCATTAGGAAACACGCTAGCCGTGCAACGTTGTTCTATACCTTTCTCGAAACGCATTAACTTTTCCCTATTCCCTCCGTGTTCCCAGTGATCTAGTCGAAAATAACGCGACAGGTCTCGTTTCCCAGATTATTTACACGGAGAAAAATTTATCTCGATTTATTTTCCCGATGTTTCTACGTAAATTTTCTATTTTCAAAGCGTGGTGGCATCAACTGACGAGTTTATGTTAACTCTTTACACCCCACTGGGGTGCTTTTAGCGCCATTACGAGCGACATGATTAATTTTCAATTTATTATTTGGTATTTTTCTTCACCGATGAAGACGAAGAACGATATTTTTAATTTGAAACAAATTTTTTCTTTTTAATTTCGAAATTAAATTTTCAATTTCGGCGTGTTTTCCAGGAAATTCTGCCTGGTGTCATTGATCGACCGAATAAAAAATTACTCGCTGCCAGTGAAGAGTCAAATATCTAACAAGCTTTAGCACTTAGTCCCTTATTAGTTAAAATCGTATTTAAAAATCTAAATTCGTACTGTTTACATTTTAACCGCGACTTTCATATCCCGTTCTCCTTTGTTTCTTATTTTACACGTTTCGCGAGATGTAAATTCGAGGAATTCTTTTCCTTGAAAATTTGCACGATATGAAATAGGGTATTAAATGTACTACACGTTAACTTTAATCGTAGCGAACGCTTTAATTTTTGAGCATCGTGTTTGAAGGGGTCATTCTCATACGAGATCACTGAGAAAATGGAATAAAAGAAATAAATCGATTTTTTACATTAAAGAATGTATCGTTGATTTACCGTTGAAATTAATTAGTATAACAAGTAATGATTTCTCGAACTCGAAATTTTAAATGCATTTTCCACGAAATGTAATTGGAGCAATTAACGTAGATAAAATCTCAAAACCTGCACGGTTGACTGTTCTGAAATTTGTACACGTACTTCAGTAGTCGAATCAAAATAATATTTTTTATAATAAGTCCATCACTATATTAAAAAGAAATAAAAAATTTTGTTTGAATAAAAAGTCGTAGAATGAAATGATAAAATTTGATTAAATATATAAGTTCTTGCTTTTTGCCAATTTTCAACGTAAAATAATTATTTTGGTTCTGTAAACTTATCGAGTAAAAATTTCTTTGATTTTGTAGCTTTAGTCAATATCGAGAGCTGCAGTCGATGTTTAAACGCGTTTTTCCCGTGAGCGTGATATCAACGCAAAAATCAATAAAAATCAATAAAAATCAGTGAAAAAATTATTTCGTACTACCAAAGAATAGTTAAATAAACCGCGAAAGTAAGTTACAGCGTTAGATGTAACATATACTGAAAGAAGAAAGTTAACAAAAATGTTGAAATCTTGGAATATTTACTAGGATGGACCCAAAATCACTTTTATGATTGAACAGCGATTGCGGCAATTATCGCGGCGGCAAATCCGCGAAAAATTATTGGCGAACACGTTTCACGCTATCTAAATTCTCGTTTACGGCTAGTTTGACGTGAAGTCGTTTCAAACGGAATAACTTGGGCGATGTTTCAGCCGATAAGTGAGATTTAACGTTCAACGCCTGCGAAACAATAAAAACCGTCGACGAGGGGTGTGTGGGAACTGAGCGTATCGTTTTAACGGTATAATGGACCACGGTTGATGGTATTAAATTTACATGGGCAGAGGTTTTGCACGCCTCGCAGCGAACTTTTAATTGTGCGGAAAACTATTCGATTAATAGGTCGGCCCCAGGGGTTTGATAGCAAACGCTATTGCCTGTATCGATTTCGCGAAGCTGCTTCGTTATTTCTGAAAAGGGGCTACTCCATGTGGCAGCTTGTTCCGACGAATTAACCACTCATTGACGACCTCTGTACCACGCATAGACTTCAGTTTTTTCGCATAACCGTGACATCTATGCTCATTAACTGTGGGTCGCAATTGTGTCAACATGGCCTTCATGTTTTTTAAATCTCTGTGTATATATGTTTCGGTAACTTTTGTAATTGTTATCATTTCTTGTTGACAAAAATTTGGAATACTCTCTAAATATGTGTCAATGGATGATAGAACAACTGTCTTAATAACTCTTATGGTTTATTCGGAAAAAATTATCCAAGAAGTGCTTCCAAACAGTGGGTCGTAGTCGTGTCAACATGTCAATCTGCGTACATATATATGTTTCGATAACTTTTATAATTATTATTATTTTTGGTTGACAAAAATTTGGAATACTCTCGAAATATGTGTCAATGGATGACAGAAGAACTGTCTTAATAACTCTTATGGTTTATTCGGAAAAAATGATCGAAAAAGTGCTTTCTAACAGTGGGTCGTAGTCGTGTCAACATGTCAATCTGCGTGTATATATATGTTTCGATAACTTTTATAATTGTTATTATTTTTGGTTAACATAAATTTGGAATACTCTCGAAATATGTGTCAATGGATGACAGAACAACTGTCTTAATAACTCTTATGGTTTATTCGGAAAAAATTATCGAAGAAGTGCTTTCTAACAGTGGGTCGCAGTCGTGTCAACGTGTCAAGTATGCTTTTTAAATCTTCGTGTACATATTTTCTGGTAACTTTTATAATTGTTATTATTTTTGGTTAACAAAAATTTGGAGTACTCTCGAAATATGTGTCAATGGATGACAGAACAACTGTCTTAATAACTCTTTTGGTTTCTCCGGAAAAAATTACCTAATAAGTGCTTCTTTTCTTACTTCTATATCAGAAAACACCCTTAAACCCTTTTGATGATTTCGATTACTATAGTCATACTTGTTTTTGAGACTGTTGTCTATTGATTCTTGCCTTGGTGACGGGTCGAGAGTAGCATGTAGCAGTCAAAAACCTAATCCATCTAAATTACTAAAAAATTTATCTCAATTTTAAGTATCGTGTTAATTTTAAAATAAATATTAAAAATTCATAAATACTTTATGAATTATTATACTATGATCAACACTGTTGCGATGTGATTTTGACTGTTCCATTCCTAATATTTATTACTCTTCAACCTGGAACCAGAGTCGAAGGGTTAAATGGATTGTTTTTACAGTCTTGGTGTCGAGTTGTCTCGCAGAATACGATACACAGGTTTCGTTTAGCCTTTCGAGTGAGGAAAATTTTCTTTCATACCTCGTTTCACTGATCTTTTTCGTCCAAATTAAATTTTCAAACGCAGCTGCTTCAATTAACGACTACGTGCGCTCGCTATCCAACGGTAAAGGGAAAAGGAGAGAACGCATTTTGTAGGAAGGATTTGCTTCGAAATCTTCGTGGATAAAATTGTCGTTAATTATTCCGGAACGACGTTCGTTATGTATCGGAAGTACGATTTAACTTCGATAATGGCGAAATTGGTTTTAAAAGATTTCGTGGAACTTCCGTCGAACGAATACGATTATTTTCGTGGAGCTTGCAAGGTGTTTTGTTAGGTTAGCTTTGTTTCGAACTCTGTGCAGACAGACACGAATTGGTGGTAAAACTAGAACGTTTAATTACGATATAAGTAACTAATTACTGGACTTCGAATCATTTCTCAATTGTATATATTCATAGGAATTAGATAAAAGAATAAAATCTAGGTATCTGGAAGGCTTAAAAAAATGCATTTTTATATTTCACATATTCTTTACATTTTATATATTTTGAATATATATTTTTAAGCACCTATACCGATTTATACTACACATTTCGTTTATCATATTTGTTTCTAAAGTGTAATATATTTTTCTAAATTATCAGGTTAATTTGTCGCGAAAGAAATCCAAATTTGCGTAAGCTAGTCAATAATGAGGTTGACATCATTATATAAAGTACGTAAGCATGTATACACATATGTTTATATTATCGAATAATTCTTTGAAAAATGACAATAGGTACAGCCCTGATATTTCTGAATCTATTCTTCGTCGTGTGACGGTTTAATACAATTCCAGACAGCCAAGTATATTCAAGTTTATTCAGGTCTATATCAAGAAATCGAAATTCAGGTATCAAGTATATCGAGATAAAAGAAATAAATAAAATAAATAAATAAAAGCGATCCAGGGTGAGAATTTTGCAAAATCCTGGAATAAATGAGAGTAGGATTAGAAGATGACAGCCATATTTAATAACGAGCAATTTATCGGAGAGAATAATTTTATGAGAGTAGATAGTTTTAGCCATAGAGCCAAGGGCTCGAGATTTACGATATTACGATAATTTGAAAATAAATCATTTTGTTTCAGGAATGGAGGCAATCATGTCCGAGTTCTTCAACGACACCACGACTGCGTTTTATATCATACTGATTGTTTGGATCGCTGATCAGTACGATGCCATTTGCTGTCACACACCCGTTACGAAGAGGCACTGGTTACGGTGAGTGTTTCATTATGAAATTTTCTAATTCGCGAATGTAACTCGAACACGATCTTCTTTTACTTATAATCGTCGGATCCGTTGCATTTTGACGTTACAAATATCAATCGGTCAATTGTGTAGCATGAGCCCCCAATTTGTAGGACTATTCCCCGGTAATCCCTTCGCAGACGATGATCTATCGGTTTGATAGGCAATTACACCTTTTTATAACAAAACCAAATTTATTTGAGCTTAAATACAGCGTCATCTTCCATTCAATTCTGATTATAACTCTTTAGAACTCTATTATGATCACAGACTATTCTGTCGTGGAACAAAGATCAGCTCAAAAGACCCCATAGCGGTCCTCCAACGGTCAAATCCTAAGTGGCCGAATGACAAGAACATCGGAATTTTCTAACGTGTATCGCAGTTTCGAATCGTTGGAAAACTTTCTGTTTATTGTTTCGACTGGTCCCAGGCACGCGAAGCAATGCGACCCACCTTCCATAAGGTTAGGCGACGGCACTTGGGATTCGGCCAAGGGGCCTCAGGGAGGTCAGCACAAGTCCACGTGCGTGGTACCCTCAGACTTCGGCGAGCTACGGGGCCATAAACGGATATTTTCCAAACGTGGTCATTTTCAACAAGATCATCCACGCGCGGGTGATCTTCATGCACGTCACCCTGAGCGAAGGGGTGCCTCCACCACTGTCTTCGGTCGAGGGACGATTTCCTCTTTTTAGGTGACCGATTCTCGGACCGAGGAAACGCCCTTGGTCCCATTTAACCAATCAGGCCACCGTTAGCCCTTTAGCGAACTCCCGATTTTCCTCAGTTCGATCACACGGAAAATCGAGGAGTCAGTCGTTCTTACGTCTTTCAGCTCGACTATCCTTAAATTTCTCGTGAAGCGTTGACACCGTCAGTGTTCGACTCAGCGTTTGACAGATCTTAGCCATTCTTCTTGCTCGCGATCATTGAACTGGTTGCTCGATATTAATTTGGCAGGCAACATTGACGATGCGTAGCATGGCGGATTTACGACCCGTCAGAATTCAGCGAAGAATTCAAACGTGACGCGACACACATACTCTATGCACTCTATATATTGTCACTACGATTCACTGAACTCTCTACACTACACCAAACTATTATATGGTAAACTCTCTAAACAGAATTGAATTAAACCCACGACAAATCTTCAATTGCAAATATGTTAAAAATTATCGAATAGTGGCACCTGTAATCATATACCTTCACCATCAGGGGAATTAAATCTACCATCTTACAAAATTTGAATCATATCGATGACTCGAAGACTTTGCAGACTCTTTATAAGATCACTCACTCCTTCGCTCTTAACACTATTTCCCTTCTTAGGATTCTTTATCTCGCAATGCCACAATTGTCATTTTTGTTTCTCCCTTTTCGACTTTCTGTTCATCCTAGCACGATATTCGTCGGATTTTCACGTCTCACTTTCGTAATTAGTTATTCTTCTGATCAAAATTCGCATAATCTACGTTCGGATAATTGTCGTTTTACTGTACTTCTTTTTTCCTCAATTATAAGCGTATAGTCGGGTATATACAAAATTCTTTTAAAAAATTACGATGTCGTTAACGAAGTGATATTTTTCCTTTCATTATTCGATTATGTACCTTTTCTTGTCTACCTTTCGACAATTTTTTAATCACGAATTCGAAAGGGAAACTTTTGAAGAAAACCATCTTCTCTTAATTGTGGCTGTGAAACAGCATGGTTGCTCGAAGAGTTCGAAGACCGATTTGGAGTATCATTCCCAGTTGAATTATCAGGGAAACTTACCAAGACCAGTAACCAAATGTTATTCGTACCACTGGCAACAGAGATGAAGTCTATAACGAGTTCATTCGCTATTGGTCGTCAGTCCCTTGCTTTTCGGATCGCGATAGGGATAATCAAAGGAGCATTTAATTAAAAAGGATTAAACTGTATTAAAGTAACGTCGGTAAAGGCAGTTGTGGTCTTGGGCACATCGGCAGACCTCGCCTTTTCTCTTTATTCTGGCCCGTGCTGCACCTCCGGCTAAAATTGAAACGATCAAAGTATCTACTCTGTCTCGCAGCCTTTGTTGGATGACCATGGAATACTTTACCTCGTCACGGAAAATTTACGAGAGGACCAACAAGAGTTTAATATACAACGCTGACGAATTATAAAAGGACGAGCCATCGATGCTTTAATATGTGAAGTTGTATAGCGATAAAATGGTACAAAGCACAGTGGCGGCATATGAGCTTTATTAAATTACAACCTGCCTACCGCTAACTTGAAGGTAATGCCGGCCTAATTGATCAGTATAAAAGGGACACGTCTGATTTCGCTCGAATTTTACAGAATAATTCGTCACTGTTATTATATACGTAATTGAAGTTGAGTCACAAACAGATAATAAAGTCAAAAGAGATGTGCAAATGCCTTTTACAGTCTGATCGTCTGCCACGAGGAATCTCGGAACATTGACAGAGGCTTGGATAATTTTATTAACCAAATTTTTATTTCTATTATTAATATAACGAAAATATATATCAACGTAGATATCAACGTAATATAATGAAAATAAGACAATGGTCTTGAAGGAATCATTTATTTTTCTTTTTTAACATTTTTTCGTAAATGCATCAATAACGAAGTTATCACCCGTAGCGTTGGCGTGATCCGTCCTGTATTATAGTACGAAGACTATATATCTGTAGTAGATAATTCTTATCTTCGATTTAAGAGATGACTCCATCGATTGTCGATAAATTATCGGTGTAAGATTGTTACCGACAATATATTTCCAAAATTACCGACGCATACATTTTTTGAAATTGGGAAATAAAGTTATAATTAAAATACATTACTACTTAAATATAATTATTAAATACAATAAGTTGCTAAAATACTTGGGATCAAAATGAACACATTTTAACACTTTGATTGTCACGTTGGTCATATATGAGTGGTCACGGTTTCTCCTGTGAGTCAGTGAGCGGATGGTTATCAGCAATGGTCTGTAAATAAGAGCCTCTCCACGATATATCCTTGCGTATGCGATGGCACCTTATTCTTCGCATTGCGAGAAAGCTCAATCTCAAAATAAATTTATAAAACGTTATAAACGGTCTAATTCATTGCAAAAGAATTTAAAAAATTGTTTTCGAATTTAATTTTCTGTTATATTCTATGCTGGTTGGTGCCATGGAGTTATCCTTTCGTTCTCAGGACTGATATTGGTTATTTTATTAAAAATAATCGAAAATGTAATACTTACACTTCGTACTACGTGAGCTACATAAAACTGTGATCAAACGATGATTATTCTTATGCGCAAATATGCGGCCACCTCTGGAGAGACAGAAGAGACAGGATATGTAGACTATGTCACAGAGAAGGTGAGACGTATGAACACCTGGCAGAATGTGAGGAAAGAGGGGGGAAAGAAGTCTGGGAGAGATTCTAGACGAAGGGGGAAAAGGATTAGCGGACCTAAAAAGGATAGTAGAGAAAAGGGACGAAAACCAAAGAGAAGACGATAAAGGATGTAAACAGAGGAAAGACCAAAGAACTCTAAGTGCAATAAAGGACAAAACAGAGTTATTAGAGTTATTACAGGAATAGGCATTAAATATAAGATAGACTGTAAGAGCACTAAAAATTAAGACGAGATAACAAAGTATGTATATGGAGCTGGAAGTCATCTGTATCCGAAAGGCAAAGATTATAATAAACTACTACTACTATCTGCAAATATTGTTTCTAGAAGAGAAACTTGTTTCTACGTTCTTCATCGTGTTTTATATCGATGTTATTCGCACGATTTTCAATGAATATCGAAACACAATTGGCATTACATTATTCTCCCTTTGCTTCGGTAATATGCTGCATTTTGAATTTTTTAAGTATCATTCTTGGTTTGGTTTTTATTAGTAAATTCGTCCGGTTATCTTCGCATAGGCACCCGTTTTTCGCTCGGCACTGAAGGGGTTAAAACAAGTATCTTCTGCCATACGAGTAACTTCCCAGGCAAGCTATCAAAGGTTTAATCTTCTTCAGTCAATATCAGGAATACCTTGCTGTATTTCTCACTGAAGCAGTCCCGTTGGTATTCGCGTACGGATATCGGCATAATGAAGTATGAACGCCTCTATAATTATTGCTGTTTATTGATTAGCGTGGAACGCGCAGATCTCGAGCGTCGGTATGTACAGAGAAATTTTGATTAAACGACACGGTCTATGCATGTAATGAGCTTTACGAAGCACGGTTCATATGGCTATGTTTATGCAGATTGTTCGCTAATTACGTTCTCGTGGTATGCTGCTTATACTGACACGATTCATCCTTCACGTCGTCCCTATCCGATATGACCCGATTGCCATAAATACCTTCGATCAGTTTCTGCAAATGGTCACACTTGGCCATTTCTACGTTCCCTCGCTGATCCTGTACAGACGTCGAAGCCGGATCAGGATAAAATCCTTCGCCTAGTAGGAATCGAGCTTTACTACCTACGCTTTATCGGAGCGAGAGAGGAAGAGGGAGAAGCAGGATGTAATTTCCTTAAACCGACAAAGGTATGGAACGAGACATTAGGGGTATTAGACGGCGATTAAACAAAATTGTCCCCGGTGATGGTCCAACTTGTCGCCTTGGATGTTTGAACAGGTTGGCGACGCGCGAGTAAACGGTCGCCGAAATGGCCGCGGATAGGGGACAATACGCGTAAAGCGGGACATTTTAAATAAGAGTTCGACAAATGAGTCGGATAGAACGAAATTAACGGGTCGTTTAAAAGCGACCTTTGCTGTTGTCAATTTTCGAAATAGCATAACGAATGAGAATTTATTTTCTTGCTCGTATGTAATATTGATAGGTGAATTTTTAACCCTTTGCATCCCTTTATCGAGCGTGACTCGACATCACTTTTCATTACAGGAACTCCTGTATCGAATTACGCTTACTTAAATTACTTAAATTCGAAATAAAAA